TATGCTGTGACTTTATTTTCATTGAATTCAAGGAAGCCTTTAACTTCTTTGTTTCTTCCTTGACCCAGGGATGGTTCTGTAGTTGACTGTTCAATTTCTATGAGTTTCTAGGCTTTTTGAGAGTAGTATTGTTGTTAAATTCTAACTTTAATCCATGGTAATCTGATAAAACACAGGGGATTACTCCAATTTTCTTGTTCCTCTGGAGGTTTGATTTGTTACCAAGTATGTGATCAATTTTAGAGAAGGTACTATGAAGTGCTGTGAAGAAGGTATATTCTTTTGTGTTTGGGTGGAATGTTCTGTAGTTGTCTGTTAAGTCCATTTGATTCATGACATTTGTTAGTTCTCTTACTTCTTTGTTAAGTTTCTGTCTGGTTGACCTGTCCATTGGTGAGGGTGGAGTGTTGAAGTTTTCTACTATTAGTGTGTGGGTTTGATGTGCAATTTAAGTTTTAGTAATGTTTCTTTTACATATGTGGGTGTATTAAGGGCATAGATGTTCAGGATTGACACTTCACCTTGATAAATTGTTCCTGTTATGAGTATAAAGTGTCCTTCTACATCTCTTCTAATTGATTTTAGTTTGGAATCAATTTTGTTAGATATTAGGATAGCTACACCAACTTGTTTCTTAGGTCCATTTTATTGGAAAATGTTTTCCCACCCCTTTACTCTGAGGTAGTGTCTGTCTTTGAGGCTAAAGTGTGTTTCTTGCAAACAGCAGAAGGCTGGATCCTGTTTTTGTATCCATTCTCTTAGCCTGTGTCTTTTTAAAGGTGAATTGAGTCCATTGATATTGAGTGATAGTAATAACAGTGGTTGTTAACTCCCGTTATTTTTTGATAGTAGTGTTTGTGTGCTTCCCTTCTTTGGGTTTTGCTCGCTGGGTGGGATATCACAGTCTGTGTTTTTGTGGGCATAGTTAGCTTTCTGTGTTGGTGTTTTCCTTCTAGTACTTTCTGTAAGGCTGGCTTTGTAGATACATATTGTTTAAATCTGTTTTTGTCATGAAATATCTTGGTTTCTCCATAGATGATTAATGAAATCTTTGCTGGGTATGGTAGTCTGAGCTTGCATCCATGGTCTCCTAGAGTCTGCAGCACATCTATCCAAGACCTTCTGGCTTTCATGGTTTCCATTGAGGAGTTGGGCATGATTCTGATAGGTTTACCCTTTGTGTGTTACTTGACCTTTATCCTTTGCAGCTCTAAATATTCTTTCTTTATTCTGTATGTTTTGTGTTTTGATAAATATATGGTGAGGGGATTTTCTTTTTATCCAGTCTATTTGGTGTTCTGTAAACTTCTTGTACTTTCATAGGCATATTCTTCTTTAGGTTGGGAAAGTTTTCTTCTAGAATGTTGTTGAATATATTTTTTGTGCCTTTTAGCTAGAATTCTTCTCCCTTACCCCTATAATTTTTAGGTTTGGTCTTTGAATGATGTCCCCGATTCCTGGAAGTTTTGTTCTAAGAAATTGTTAGATTTAATGTTTTCCTTGACCAATGATTCTATTTCCTCTATAGTATCTTCTATTCCTGAGATTCTTTCATCTATCTCTTGTATTCTGTTGGTTATACTTGTCTCTGTAGTTCCTGTTCATTTACCCATATTTTCTATATCCAGAATTCCCTTGGTTTTTGTTTTCTTTATTACTTCTATTTTAGTCTTCATGTCTTGAACTGTTTCCTTCACCTGTTCGAGTGTATTTTTCTGGTTTTCTTTGAGGGATTTATTAATTTCTTCCAAATTTTTGTTTGTTTTCTCATCCATTTCTTTAAGGGAGTTTTTCACTTACTCTTTAAAGGTCCCAATTGTTTTTATAAAATTAAGTTTAAAGTCATTTTCTTCTGCTTCTTCTGTGTTAGGATAATCAAGTCTTCCTGTTGTGTGTCCAGTGGGTTCTGGTCTTGCCATATTGCTTTTTACATTGTTGTTGGAGGAACTCTTGCATTGGCACTTACCCATCACTTCCTTCAAATGAGGCTGGCAGTGTCTTTGCGTCTTCATCCAATCCTTGCTGTGGCTGTCTGAGTATTTGGGAGTTTTTCTTAGTCTACCCTGTGCTGTCAGTGTCTGACTCTGAAAGCCTCTGAGGTCTCTATACACCTGCTCTCTTGGTCTTCTCTTCTAGTTTGCTTTCTTGGTGCTCTCTCTTAATCCCCTCAATTTTGTGTCTTGCTCTTGGTCCCCTCAGTATTATAGCAAACTCTCAGCTCCTAGGCATGGTGTGGTTCAGTTTGTGGGGTCTAGAGGATGGGATTGGGCTTTGGGGGAGTTTAGCAACAGAAATCTCACTGCTGACTGGCTAGAAAAGCTGAAGGAGTTGGGGAAGGGTCCCTGGGTTTTTACCCACTGGAGAGGTCCTAGAGAGTGGAGCATCTGGCTGAGGGGCTGTTAATTCACCCCTTAGGCCCCTCAGTATTGGAGCAAGCTGAGTTTTAGAGTTCCACAGAGAATTGGTGCTTTGGGGGGTGAGATGTAGCTAGTCCTTTGTGTGATGGCTGGATGGGTTGGAGAGTAGCCTAGGCACTGGAAAACTCCCTGTTGTCTGGCTAGAAAAGCTGAGGGAGTTGGGGAAGGGCCACTGGGGGTTTTCCCACTGGGGAGGTCCTAGAGAGTAGGGTGTCTGGTTATGTGGCTGTTCACTCATCCCTTAGGTCCCCTCAGTTTTGGAAGAAGTCAGCTCTTTTTTTATTTTGATATATCTGTGTTTGATATATCTCTGAAAAGAGTTTCAATAGAGATAACTTTTATGACTCCTGATATTTTTAAACATTATTAATACCTTCTCAAAATTTGACTGATATTTTTGATGTATAATATATTCGTGATGAAAAGCTTTCCTTCAAATATTTAAAGTGATACCCTCTCATTTTATGTGTCCATGGAAAAGTAAGAGCATGTATTGATGACAAGTCTTTTGCTGTCTGAATGCCAGGCTTTGTATTTTAAGTATTTCAAATATTTTCTCTTAGCAGAATTTTAGATTTTTTTCTAAATTTAATAACATAAGAATTTTTGTTAGTTTCTGTCATTCATAGAAATGACAATTATTAATAATCTTCTTTCTTCTGATGTGTGTGCGTGTGTGTGTGTGCGTGTGTGTGTGTGTGTGACTGTGGTGGGAGGACAACTCCTGTTAATATTCCTATTCTCTCTCTTTTCTTTTCTTACATACTTTCTTTTCCCACTATGTGCCTTTATTGTAGTTTGCTTTATTTTCTAGATTTTCCTGACTATATTTTCCAACCAGTCTTTAGGAATTATTCTTTTTGTTAACAAGCACATTTTTAACATCTGTGACATTTTGGTAGATGTAAGATCATCCATACTTCCCCCTCCACATCTGTTCTTGTGTAACTGCAGCTTATATCCCATTGGAACATCCAAAACTATCTCTGATCTTAGTGCTTTAATTTGGCCAACTACTGTATTTTATATTATTGCCTATTGATGTGGGATTCTCCTTTGTATGCTGTGAATATGTTTTTATTACCATTGGTTAATGAATAAAGCTGTTTCAGCCAAAGGCTTAACAGAGCAAAGCCAGGCAGGAAATCTGATATATAGAGTAGACAGAGTCAGGGAGACATCATGTAGTGACCAAAGGAGAAGGACCCAGAATTTTTCCAGTAAGCCATATCCATGTGGGCAATACACAGATTAATAGAAATGGCTTAATTCAAAATGTAAAAGCTAGTTAGAAATATGCCTAAGTCATTGGCAGGACAGTGTTGCAATTAATAAAGTTTCTGTGTGATTTTTCAAGTCTGAGCAGCCTGGAAATAATGAGCAGCCTCTATCTACAACTTATAAACTAACCTAGTACTTTCCTTTTAAATCCTTAATAGGTAAATTGAAAATATCTTTTCTAAGGCAGAGAGATGGCTCAGTGGTTAAGGGTTCTGACTGCTCTTCCAGAGGACCCAGGTTCAATTCACAGCACCCACATGGGAGCTAAAAATTGTCTGTAACTCCAAGATCTGACACCCTAACACAGACCTATCTATCTATCTATCTATCTATCTATCTATCTATCTATCTATCTATCTATCATCTATATAAGTATATACATATATAGGCATGTATATACATATATGTGTGTGTTTGTAAATGTAACATCAAATTACTAATGCACAGAAAATAGAAGTAAATTTAAAAAATGTCTTTTCTATATAAACTGCATTTTTGACAGGTTTGGTCTTCTCATGACTCTGGAAATGAAGGAAATTGAGAAAATTATAGCCCTCTAGATTCCAAGTTTGCAAAACAAATATGCTAGCAAATGCTTAATTTCAGAACTTCAGGGAATGTGCTCTTTAAATTGAGGAATTCCAAAATCGGAGCCTTCGTCAATGTCAGATTTGCTTTCTGTGTTATAGAGTTAATTAATGACAATGAGTTAGAGACAGTGTTATGAATTTGCAGCGAGTCCTCAGCAGCTTTTAAATGTGAAGTATAGCTCAATAAGGTAGAAAAAGACTACAAGAAGTTCTTTTGAGCTCAATAACTTTGAATAAAATGAATATCTCACTGCTATGATTATAAAAGGAATTCCACAAATTTCAAAAGGTCAATAGGAAACATGAAAATATTATGTCCAGATTTGAAACGTCCCCCAAAAACCAACAAGGAGATTGAGTCTCATAAGTAAAAGCAAAGAGCATTTATTCTACACAAGTTTGCACACTTGGACACCCCATGTATCCAACGTATTGGAATATTTGGCGAACCTGGAGCTCAGTTGAAGTTGGGTTTTTTTGTAGTAGCAAAGGTGGGGGTAAGGAATTTTTAAGGTTCAGGACCCCTGCTTGGCTGCTGTTTGTCCAGGGGTGTCTGTTGTTCCTTTGGACACTACAGCTCCCAGACTCCTCCTGGATTATGAATACCTGCGCACGCGGGCGTGCTCAGGTGCAGGTCATTTCTCCCAGATAACCTTGCGCTTCCCGTTAAAAAGCGAGCTTCCACGAGGTCTCGCTCTCTACTGCCCTTTACCCTTGTGTGTCTCACACACCCATCCCTTATCGTGTCCTTCTCCCCCCATTAAAGTGCACCCACGTGGGAGCCGCGTGTCTTGTCTCCTCCCTTTGCACTTGTCTCGTCTATCCTGTGTTCGTCTACACACCCCACCCGCCGTTTTTAAAAGAATAATATTTTGGTGCCGTGACGACTCGGGGACTTCTTCATGCCGGATTCTCCACCCGAGGCCTGGACTCCGGGCCTCTGGCGCCTCCCGGAGTCCGGGACCTCAAGCCGGACACAGAGTCAGAACCGAGACCTACAGCCACCACCGCTCACCACAGCCATCTCTGACTGATACCACCTAATTCGTGAGTTTACCCCGCCGGCTTCTCTTTCCTTGGTTCGCCTGGGGAACCATCGGCCGGCTTTCTCTGGCTTGTCCTGGGTTGAGTTGCCTAACCTTTCCCCGCCCTTCTCCTTCTCCCGGCCTTGTGCCCCTGGCTAAATTTGGTTCTGACGCCACTGGGAGCTTGGTGCTTCCAGTCATTCTCTCCCCAGGGTTTGGTGCCCCTGGCTTTCTTCCTCCTTTTCTTCCTTCCTTCCTGCCTTCATGTTGGGCTCGCTAATGGAGTGGGCACCTTTCCGGCTGTATGGTCAGCCCCTAACGGCGTGATTGCCCTCCTCCCGGCCGGGCTTGGTTCCTGTCGGTTGCCGGGTTCGAGTCAATCTCGCCCATAGCACGGCCTCCTGGTTCACACGGGAGGCCGGTAACTAGGACTGCTGCGCTCGCGGCACCTCCATGTGCCTCCGGCGGTCAGCTCTACAATTTGCCATGGGTTCTAGGCCATCGAAGACTATATCCCCTGCTTCCCTTCTCGGTCAACTTTTGGAATCTCTTAAGCCCCACGCTCTCATTAAGCAGTCATGAGAGACCGGGCTACGCCCCCATTCCCTTCCCCTTAAGACCCCCCCCCAATTTTTTTTTTTAATAAAACCAAAAGGTTGGAATGTTGTTCCTTTGGAAACTACAGCTCCCAGACTCCTCCTGGATTATGAATACCTGCGCACGCGGGCATGCCCAGGTGCAGGTCATTTCTCCCAGATAACCTTGCGCTTCCCGTTAAAAAGCGAGCTTCCATGAGGTCTCGCTCTCTCCTGCCCTTTACCCTTGTGTGTCTCACACACCCATCCCTTATCGTGTCCCCCTCCCCCCATTAAAGTGCACCCACGTGGGAGCCACGTGTCTTGTCTCCCCCTTTTGCGCAGGTCTCGTCTATCCTGTGTTCGTCTACACACCCCACCCACCGTTTTTAAAAGAATAATAGTGTCCTGGTGAAAAGTAATGGGTATGTGCTAGCAGGTAATCCTATCTACAATGGTTGGAATGTTAAGAATTTCCTTTGGATGGTCTGTTCCTGGGGCTGAAGTGACATTTCTAACCAAATACATAGTAGTTCACAACATGGTGGCCCAGAAGCAAGAAAGCAGGAAGGAGGAAAGGTGGCTATATTCCAAAGTAAACACAGCTCATGACCTCCTTCCTCCTGCTTTCCAGAATCTCCTAATAATATCACCATATTGTGAATTCAGCAAGGGGTTGATGCACTAACCGAGTCAGAACCCTCAGGCTGCAGTCATATCTAAAGCACCTCTACAAACACACAAGAGGTTTGTGTGCATCTCTTTGTATGAGGAAGTCGAAGTTCAGAACTAATTATCATAATAGCTAAGTTATATCCATAAAATTTTATAGTCTAGGAAAAGGAAATTAATATGTTTACCCAAACTCAACTTACAAACATGTGGAATGTTATTAGACTAACATAGATATTTCAAGGAGAGACTTTTGTAGAGATGTCTGGTAAATGCGCCAGGACAGCGAACAGAAGAATGGAAACTATTTGGTGTGAAGTAGTTGTGTTTTAGAAAAAAGAAGTAGACGTGTGATACCTTCCTAAAGGCCATTGGATTTACAAATACTAAAAATAAAAAGAAAATTCCTTCTAAGTTTTATAAACTGAAATGAGGAAAATGCATGGGAACTTCTATGTACATATGGATATTATGGCTGTATCAATCCACATTGGGGAAGATGATGCTAAGAAATAGTCATGCCCTGCTTGAGGTCTACAGTCTACTACTTAACTGGGAGAGATTGTCTTTGTTTTGTGTGGTTGTTCTATGAGGTGTTATTGATTGTGTCCCATCTTGCTGATACCCCTACTGATCCAGAACATACTGATAAAATTTGAGCCTTCTTCAATCAAGTGCTATGTGTCTATATGTATATGTGCATGTATGAGGTAAGAACAGTCATAAGCTTTCTGATTGTTCTTCACACTGCTTGGCATTTCACAGTGAATGGCCTTTAGGAAAACCATGACAAAACTGTTTAATGGTGCCACTTTTAAGTCATGTTAAAACTGAACAGAAGTCATCTCTACAATATAAAATGCACTTATAACCTTTGAATGCTTTAACAATAAACCAGTAATGTCAGCTGACTGTCTTAGAATTGTGTTCTGGTACATGAATAGGATTAGTGAGACAAAAAGAATAATGTTTAAAACTATAAGATCACACGTGTTTTCTTTACAAATAATTTCCCTGTATTCCCTCATAGAATAGATACTCAAGTTCAGAATACATAACTAGTGTACTTCAAATTAGAAAAGTTACTTTTGTTTTCATTCTTCTTGCATCTGGAGTTTAGCCCAGAAGTCACTGTCCATATTTTCAGATAACATTCCTTATTGAACTTAGTACTTAACCAGCAAGCATGAGACAGGTTTGCTTTGCTTATTTATGGGAGCTAGTATTGTGACTCTTAAAGCACATTTTTAAAAGAAAATATGACTGAGTCATTCAACAACTAGTAAATGATTACCATATATTAACTTAAAATAATAACCTTATTATAATAATTATAATACAATTATAGTAACTATGCCTATAATAATTATCTCATATTACTGTAGTTCCTGGATAATCAAGTGTGATAGACATTTACTAGGTTATGTTTTCTTATAGTATTCAAAGCTACTTGGAAATAGCTTTTTTTCATAGTAAAGGAAAAATAATCATGTGTATATGAAAAGGTTCAATCTTTAAAGTTTCTGGTGTATTTGTAATACATCTAAACAGTACACAAACTGAAAAAGATGCTTTCAGTAGTATAACCAAGTATCATCACCATCATGACCTTTAAAACCATAGTTATTGCCATCATTATTTTTAAAAGAAAATTAGGAATAGCACACAACTTTCTTTTATTACAACTAGCACTCAACTGATGCTAGTTCAAGCCCTAAATTAATTCTGTCTCAGCCTGTGAGATGCTGTAAAGAAGACAGTTGCCTGCTCTCTTCCATTTAGCTCTTTTATCTCTGAAAGCCTTGTATTCTTGTTTTTCCCCATTTGATTTCTAAACTTCATGTGGAATTCCATATGGAGAATAAATACCTAAAACAATCCTTAAAAACAAACCAACCAAACAAACAAAAACCCAAAGTTGTCTGACTCCAAAGCATGTCACAAGGTTACAATAACCAAACCAACACGGTGACTGCTGAAGACAGACAAACGGACCTGGAGAACTGAAAATCAACCTTCATCATCACAAGCATCACTGTTAACGACCATTCAGAGTTGACACCAGCGCCACTCTTGAGTGATTTCCAAACCTGTAAAGTGCTGTAAAACTGAAACCAGTCACCTGTGCACAATGTTCCTCTTACTTTCCTCCCTTTAAAACCTCTACAAGTTTTCCACTCTTGTATTTCTCCTTCCCACCTATTCCTCCCCCCGCCATTGCAGTTTCTGTCTCCTTTTCATCACAGAAAAAAAAAAAAGGAAAATCATGGTTCTTCTTTGAAATATGTGCAAGTATACAATAAGAAACATTTGGTTTTTTGCGCCTGACCAACAACTAGAAGGGAGATATTCTACACCTATAAGGAACTTTATATTTTCCAGCCTATGGCTTCTTGGTGGAACATTATTTCCTGTGTAGGATAACTTTAATTATGTTATTTTATATACATACAAACATGTATTGTGTGATATGTAAATTCACACATATATGATTTAGGAATCTTATAAAATGGATTTCTATATGTCTTCTGCAACCATCCTTAGTGTCACTTTATCCTTTTCAACTGCTTCTCTGCCCTAGCCATCCACAATAATTTGCACATATTTACCACATTGCTAGTCACTACAACACTATAGTAAGTTCTCTGAACTTACGCTTTGTCTATCTGAAAATTTGTGCTTCTTGTAGTACTCCTCATATTACTGGTGACATCAACCATGGGTTCACAGCAGATGTGTATTAACTACAATAAGACACCCATGCCATGTTCTATTAATTGTACTTTTTAAACACAGAATTTTAAAGGGAAAGCTGTGAACAGCATACTTTCTCAGTTCCAGTCTCTTTTTCCTTTATACTTCTGATGCCACTGATCTGAGAAAAACATATGAGTGTGTCATTTGACTTGTCTCCACTGTTCTCATTTCCCTTCATAGCTTCCTCATTCCTGACACCCAGATTGCTCACCAGATCCCAGATGAACTGTGTACCATCACACATACCCAGGAGAACAGACTCTTCCATGTGCTACTGAGATCTTAAGACTACTGTAGTCACCTCATTGTGAAATCTTGCAACTTTCCAGCTTCCTTGTCCTGAGTGTGCCACAATCACAGTTGAGAAGGTGAGTTGACTATATGCATAAATTGCATAAGTCTATTATTTCCTTACAGAGTATTGCTCTGTGAAAATCCAAACCATTTTATTTAATCATTGCTTGATTCCTGATTCCTCACACATGGTAAAGCTGAGGAAAATAAATGGAATGTAATTTCCTTAGTATCCCAGAGCTGACTCTATTGCACAGCAGCCTTCTTTCTGTGAAGACTATAAACAACACTGATCTGCAGATGTTTTGCAGTTATGGATAACTGATTGTGTGTTAGGTAAATGACAATTTTGAGAAAAACTTTAATTTATCCTCCTCCTGTGTGTTTGGGGTACATGTGTTCATGCACATGTGTGCAGGATATTGTGACTCAGGCCAGGAGAGCCAACTAGTATTTTTAACACAAGGTCCCTCATTGGCCTAGGGCCAGGGACTGCAAATTATTCCTGTACCTCTGTCTGCCTGGTACTGAGATTATGAGTGTGTTCCCTTATGCTTTGGTTTTTATTTGACTGCTGGTGATAAAACTCCAGTCCTCGTGTTCCAGCAAAAACAACTGTACATACTGAGCTGTCTTCCTAGACCGAAATTTTAATAGTTGTTCTGTTTTTCACTCAGTACTTTTTAAAGTAATTCAACTCCAGTGAGAAACTAAATAGAATGAAATAAGTGAGTGATTTACTAGTGCTGTATGTGTGCTTTAATATTTAACTGACTCAAGTTAATAATAACATATTTCAGAAATAAGGTACTACCATTCAACTTATTTTCATCTAACTCATTTTCAGCTACTCTGAGTCACAGTCAGGGTAGCAGAGTCTATTGGCATGAGAGGAACCCAGAGAGTGATATTCACACATGACTGTAAGGCCTTTTTATGTATCAGAAGCAAAGAAGTCCTGCTGTGAAGTAATAGTGGGCAGAGATGCAGGGCAGTCAGTGGGCAGTGACTCTGTGGTTACAATTGATGAACTTCCTGTACTTAAAAATAGCCATGGTTGCTCTGAGAGTAAGAAATTCCTGTTCCGTAATCTGGGTACTAACCCAATGATGAAAATAAGATTGATTCCATTAATGCCTGAGTTCTTTTTAACCATGTGTTTGTCACTGAATTTGAGCAGCTAAAAACAGTGTTGAAATCTTTACAAACTGAGTGTGGGCCTGTGGAAACCCAAGCTCCCCTGGCACACCAAGTTCCAAGTTACTTGAGTTCCTTTTCTTACTGTGGTTGAGGATATTCCTGAGAACTTCATTGTTTGCATAAGTTGTAGTGTTTCAAAATCATTCTTCTGATATTGAAATATTTCCTAAAATTCAACACTTCACATAAGTATTTTGTGGCAAAAATACAAAAGTCTTCAAGTCCAAACCTTCTGAGAGATTTATTAAAGTGTTAAAAAATCTAATAAGTAGAAAACTGTACATTGTATTTTTATAAATTCACAGATACCCAATTTCCTAATACAATTAAAAATTAACAAATGAGAATCTAACATGAAAGAAAATTAGATTTGCTTTTTAGACATTAAACCTGGTCCCTCCTAGCTATCTAGTTGGCAGTTTAAATATACATTATATATGTGTGTGTGTGTGTGTGTGTGTGTGTGTAATTACAAGGTTACAAGGCCATAATTAAATGCTCATGTGAACACACAATGCATTTGAATCATACCTAATTTGTTTTATTAAATCTAGAATGACAGAAATAATCTTTAAATAACTTCATTTCAACAGATTTATTATAGTATTTTTATTGAAAGACTAAGAAAAAAAGAAATGAGAAAAAGGAAAAAAGTGAGGAAGAATAGAGAAAAAGGAGGAGGGAAGAAAAAAAGGGAGGGAAGGTGAAAGGGAAGAAAGGAGGTGGCCTTGGATGCAATGGATTTAGGAAAGGGGATTAGTAGTTCTGATAATTCAGCTGAACAGAATATTAATAGGAAGGAGTGCTTTAAAGATATTAGTATTTTACCTCATAATAGGAAGGCAGATAAACAAAACCTTAAACCTGTGAATGTTCCAATTATTTCTCATTTTTAGAAGTAGGAACATTTCTTCACTTTTTTGTTTTCATTGAAAATAGATTCTTCTTTCATACAATAAATCCCAACCAAAATTCCACTTTCCTCCACTTCTCCCAAAGCTCACTCTGCTTCCCCATCCAAGAGATCTACTGTTTACTCTTTAGAAAAGAACAGTCCTCCAAGAGATTATTCCTAAACAGGACAAAACAAGATATAATAAGATAGGGGAAACTCCTGATGTTGGGAGCAGGTATATCTCTGACTCTTTTGCATAGTCTTGGGACTCTTTTCCTGCTATTAGGTTGCCTTGTGCAGCCTCTATATGAATGCTTTTACCTAGTTTTATTTCTTAACTTATAAGTAATTGCATTTGTAAAAACTTCATTTGATAATATAGCATATATGACCATAATGCAAAGGGAGTATTTTAGCCTAATTTCTACATGAGCAGATATGAAGAGCTACTAAAAGAAAAGACCAGATTCTAAGATATGTAGCTGACTTCTCCTGAGGCTCAAATAAGGATAAACTTGTACCTTTTGTGAGATTTTTCCATTCCATGTCTTCTTTGAGAATATACAAAAATATTTAAAAACCTATCGGTATGTAACTGCCCAAGATCTCCAAGGACAGGCTACCCTTATTCTGTTTCTGTTGGGACTTTGATCTTATCTCAGCTGCTTAGCCCAAGCCAAGTTTATGTTCCAGTCTGGGAGACGAAGTGTGGCCTCTGTCACAGTGAATGGTCTATTGTTGTGCAAACATATGACCAAGACAAAAGAAAGCCATTTATTAGGGCTTTAAAGTTTCAGAGGGTTAGAATCCATAACTATCATGCTAAGGCACAGGAAAACAAAGGGGCAAGAATGACACTGAAGAAGTAGCTGAGAGCTTGCATCTTAATCCACAAGTAGGAGGCAAAGAGCATTCACTGGGAATGGCTTAGACTCTTGAAACTTCAATGCTACAGTCAGGGACACACTTCTTCAACAAGAAAGACCAAACCTCCTAATTCTACCTAAACAGTTTCACCTACTGTCCACCAACTATTCAAATATATGAACCTATGGGGGTCATTTTCTTTTAAATCACTGCAGCCTTGTAGCAGGCAAACTCACGTGCAGAGAGCCGGCTGAGTGTGCTGCTGAGTGACCACCTGGTACCACAGACAGGCTCTCCAGATAGTAGTAGTCTTTTCTGTGGTTAACTTCAGTATCACTGTCACAGTGAGACTTCATTCCAATGTGGTGTTCTCTAGATGGTAAAAGTATCCATGTCCACTGAATTTACAGGATTACCTACTATGCCTGTCACCCAGTCAAGCAGTCTGTGATCAACCCACAAAGCAGAACAGTACTGCACATTCACTTTCTAGGGTTCTGTTCGATAATGACTGGCCTCTTGAATGGATGTCAAATTTTGGAATCTGATAGCAACTTTTAAAATTGGTTTCTATGATATAGATATGAATAATTTGCATTAGTATAGATTTTGCTTTATTGATAGAGATTTAAGGTCAATTTTGTTATATATACATATATATATATATATATATAT